ATCAATCTGTAATAAAAGACGTGAGGAAATTCTGTCTTTTTTAAAGACAAAAATTTTTGAGGCGAAATACCCAAAAAGAAGTTTGTAAAAAAATTCAACTGCTAGACTCTTGAAAACAAAAACACATTTTAAGCGGTTTTTGAGACTTCAGGATTTTTAGCCTCCGATTTCTTCCTTATTATTGACCCAAACACTTTATAAATGCACATTTGTGACGTTTTTCAGTTTTTTTTGTGACATTTTCGGCACATTTTAAGCATTTTTGGAGCGTTCACGATCTTTAGCCGACGATTTCTTCCTCATTTTTGATCCAAACACTTTACAAATGCATATTTGTGACATTCTTACGTCGAAAGGAATCGATAGAGCTCAAAAAACACGCATGTAAAATTTTGATTTTTGGTCGAAAATTTTCTAAGGGTGGGAGTCGATTTTTTTAAAAAATCGAAAATTTCCTCAAACTCCTAAATTTCACATCATTTTCAGCTCACGGAAGCGAGGAATGCATCAAACTCATTGAAACACTTGCTAGAACTTTCAGACCCGAATTAATAGACATTTTCGGCACATTTTAAGCGTTTTTTGGACGTTAACGAAAAAAAAATATATATGAAATTTTTATTTGTGGCCGAAACTTTTCCAAGGGGCCGATTTTTTGGAAAAAATGAAAATTTTCTCAGTAGAATCAGTAATCAGTGCACAAGTATTTTGAGCACTTTCGTTCGTGCGGCTTTATAACGTAAATAATCCCTGTCGAGAGGGTCAGAAACCATATGGTCAGTGCGTGTGCCATCTTAAATGAGATTAAATGTTAAGTGTTGTCAAAGTGTCGCGGCACATGGACACACAGAGCGGCATTAACACCCAAGTGTCTTAAGACACAGTATTGCCCAGGTCCAAGTAACAAAGAAAGTTCTTGATCGCCAACAAAAGGCTTCAAGTACCATCCATTGGATTAAAGGAATTTGTCACGAATCCAATCACAGTCTTCCCTCGCTCAAACAAAAGAACATCCGCCGGTTGCATCGTGGTGCTTTCGAGGAATCGGGGTACCTAAAGAAAGGACCAGATGTTCGGCTGCGGAAAAATGCCTAAGCCATGTATCGAATACCCCGATTGTTTTTTATGTCGGCGCCACGACCACGAAACGAAGAAAGAGGCAGCCTTAAGGGGGCTTGCTTGGTAGCATGCGGCCAAATTATGCAACAATGATTGATGGCCTTTCGAATATGGAGTCTGGCTAGAAAGGAGCAACTAAGGCATCAGAACAAGGTTACCAGCAAGGCTCCAAAGGAGAAATTTGAAAATTGGATAAATAACTGTCGTGTGTCGATTGACTTGAAGCCGAAGTTTGAAGCGTTTTTAGTGCAATTCTTTTTCGGTTAGTGTGTGGTTTTAGATAAAGCTTATTCAACCTGCAAATGAGACATTATACAATTAGAGAACAATTCACATGCTCCTAGTGGGACAAAAAGACCGAAAACAACTCAGGCTCAATAACGCTTAGAACAGAAACCGAATCGCTCTAAACAATCAGGATTTATCCACTTCTAAATTCAGGGCAAATTTGGGTGTGAAACGCTAATTTTTTGAGGAGTTTATATATATATATATTTATATCCTATTAAAACAAACACTTATTTTGCTCAGATAATCCAAAAATGCAATAATATATAGGGTATTTCATTTAGAAAAACACAACTTTGATACTTTTAGGGCTGTTGGGACACTCTGTACATTACAAAAATGTTTTTAAAATGTGCACCCGATAGGCGTCTGCGGATTCATCAAATAATACTTTGCAAAAAACAAACGGGCTAGCCGCAAACGTCCGTGCCGTATAGCGTGAATAACCCTGTATATTATATATAAAAACTTCACTTGACGGCCAAAGTGGTTAGGACTCTTAATGCCGAAAGCTCTTCAGAGGGACAGAGCAGGTAGCGAATTAATGATGGCCTGTCTGTGGACAGAAGAGTCGTTTTTTGGGCCCCGTTTGTTTTTTTACTGGTTGGGCACGTTCTAAATGCCACGTTATGACAGTTTATAAAGACATATGGACCAGAGCGGGCTGAAGGAAATCGACAATGGCTCGGATGGACGTTTTCAACTTGCGCTTAACGCCCGATCAATCATACACGACTGTCCGAATGATTATTGTGCAAGCGATTTCTGGGACAGCGATCTGGCGATCAAATTAATGCCGAAATGCATATGAAAAGTCTAGGAATTTCTACCTACGAGCAAAGGCGAGTGAAAATTTCGGCCAACTTCACCATTCCATAAGGCAACAGCGATCGGCTCTAGATCTACCTCATTATATAAGGCCACATCAGCATGAAAAAATGGTTCTAATCAGCGGTTTGAGATCTAGCGTTTGATGCGGCGATGTCAGCCGAAGAATGCCAGTTTGAAAGAAACAGTTAGAGCTGTTTACCGTGATTCATCCGCACCAATCTGTTGGCCGCGCCGCCTACCCACGTCTACCATTCAAAGCATATGTGTATGTAATTTTTACGTCCATCATCTTTCAAGAAACTTAAATAGGCCAATTGGCTGCGGTCCCATTTAAAAAAATCCTGTCCACCCAAAATATACGCTTTTACGTGCCCCGGTAGTGGCCATTTATAGACATTTGACAAGAGTGACAACTCCTGACAACTGGCTTGGGTGCACGTCATTATATCAATAATGTTGCTAGAGTAAACTGTCAATAGTCGTTTATAACTAGTGAAAATGCTGGTACATTTGAGCGACGATTGGTGCAGATGGTTCACTGAGAAAATGCTCGGGATGGTACCAGTACGAACCAGCTTGCATTCCACCGAAGAATTCCGAGAACGCAGCCTAATGGGTGCATCGGCGGTCCCTAATAAAAAAATCAAGCCTGGCGCCCCCAGCGAAAAAGTTGGAACACCCTTTCACCCACTGGGGGATCGCTAGTTGACGTGACTATCTGTCAAATGTTCAGTTGTTTATTGACGTTGTCATTTGCAAACTGTCACCAATGCGTGGGGGAAAAGGCCAATTTTGGCCAATCTTTAGGTTACATTAAAAAAAAAAAGGTTGTATTTATTCATTTTGATTATCCATCCAGTACGCGATGCTGACCATATGTTTAATTAATTATCACAATGGGTAGTGGCAGCACTTTGACCTACCCAGTCTAAGGCACTAATTAGCAAGCCGAATATGACGAAGAACCGCTCGTATTTAGGCATTTACGTAAATGGAAGGTGCCAAGGTGGGCGAGCGGCGCCAGTTGATGGCACCAAATGAATGAAAATTCCTGCAAGTGGGCCTACGAATTGAGGTTGTAATTTATATGCAAATATTGCGGACGTTTTCATTGGAAACTGTGCTTGCGTCTGATGACGGTAATTTCGGCCCGGTGGGCATGCGAAAATAATCGCGTCTGCATCTATCAGCAGCAAGTCGCCCACTTTTTCACATGGTCCAGTTATTTGAAAAGTGATACTGCAAATTTTCGGACTGCTTGCTGTGCGACCAGAACGATTAAAATCCCATTGACTAGTTTGCAGCCAATATTCAAACCCGAATATCGCTGCAGTTTAGGAAAATTAAACAGTTTCCCAACTTGGCCTCGCTGGAAACTCGAGTTATTTCGAGCGGCGAAGGTATCAAGTTGGAACGCACATCTCGCAGGCCATTTTGCTTCTGTCCTAGACGCCCGTGGGAGCGAGTGAGACAACCGATACCAACTACGTTCCTAAATGGAAAGGAAAACCACCTGTTTTTTCAAAACGGCAGGATCAAATTCCCCCAAAAAATGGTCAGTTCCCACATTAATAAATAATCTCAGTCGCGTTTTGCATTATCAGGTGGGTTATTCCCAAATGCTTTTAACTTTTTGTCAAAAACCTTTCTCAGCTCCGTAGCCGGGCCGCTGCTATCTTAAAAGCTTCCCGAGATAAAGCATTACCTTTCCGTTAAGTGACACCTTTATAATACCCACGGTGAGTTTGTTTATTTCGATTCAAACGTCGCCCATGTGCGTGGGACGAGGCTCAATTCATGAATGAAAACCGGGCGGAATCATCAAACTGAACCCATTAATGGTACTCGATTTGAATGAGTGAGTTATTAGGCTACAGCTTCAACTGATCGGCTGTCTTGTGATTGATCAAGCACGCGTGTTTTTCGGCTCAACTACACGGTTTTTTCGCGAGCTGCGAGATTTTTTAGTCATATTCTTGGCAACAAGTGCAGAAATTCCCGGTGAGTTAATTACGCTCGAACAAACAAATGCATGTAGCTTGTTCTAATATGTACGCACCCACTGGTCCGTTTTACAATCGTGTAAATAAACCCCGAGACAAATAAAAAAAGTGGAAAAAATTTGCCGCGAATTGCCAATTCAACCTACGACCAGCTCGACCTACGGATTCGGCGGCTTTTCAGATGGTTTGCTTGGCTTACCGGTTTCGAGATTTCTGATAACTTAATTTTTCGTAATCAGGAAGGCGCTCATTAAAATTGAATTAACAGCGTCACTGTCCAGTTAATTTACAGCTTAAAATTCCCGCTTACTACACAATGCAATTTTTAAGAGCATCAGGCCCTTGCGTGCGCGGATATCAATATGCTCACCTAATAGAAAATGTGAGAACTTACAACTCTTCTTAGTGGGTTTTTTTGCGGAAATGCAGTTTTCGATCACTTTTCATTCATATAAATTCACAGATTTTCCACAATAGCGTAAAGGACGCCATATCCGCTGTCTGTCAAACCGATTGTCACGGTGACGCTCAAGCAATATGAAAGAAAATCCTTCGAACCAATCGGGTATGAGCAAACTCCAATATGGCGCCTCAAATCAAACGTCACTGCCAAATAGGGGCAGACTATCCTCTATGGTGGAAATCGCGCAATTAAATTTGTTTACTCGTTGTCAAGTTGTTGGTACAGGCGATTTTCCATAAGGTGACACATGAACATTGATGACAAAAACAAATGAATGTCAATGAAGACTGTGATAGGGAAAAGTGGCAGACGGTCCGCACCAATCCCCCCACGTTTGATAGCCGGGTACTTACTGTAAAATTATCATCGAGACGAACGTAGGCAGCGCAATTTCGATAAAGACCCGTCCAACGAGCCGACAGCAGGCCTGGGGGACCGCGGGGCTCCGCTA